GCCCGCTGGCCCGCTACCGGGCCCGGTACCAGGATACCCGGCGTGCAGCGAGCCACCGTGCGGCGAGCCGTACACCAGTTGCCTTACTTTCTGCTCGTCGTCGGCGATGTTGTACGTCAGCTCGGTCTCCTCGAACCCGGTTGCTGACATCCTCTGGTCGCCCGACGAACCCGACGGCGGTGGATCCGGACTGTTCAGACACGTCTGGATTAGCGCCTTCCCAGCATCGCTTGTGATCATTGGTTGCAGTTTGCGCGTCGCGAACGTATACACGTGCCCGGTCTCGCTCGCCACCAGTAACATCACTTGCGTACCGGTCAGCGTCGACAGCTCGTATGCCTGCAAATGTGACATCGACAACTTCGTTAATTCTATGATAAACGTATTTACGTACTTAGTTTATGTTCAGATATTTTCTGTTGTTACTTATTCATAAAACTATTCGTTCATTTAGATTCTCCCTCCTCCATAAAAGATTAGAAATTCTCAAGTAAGAGATTTAAATATGGTTTAAATTCTAAAAAAATATAATGGATCAATCAGAAATTGTCTAAACAACTTCTGATTGATCCATTATATTTTTTTAGAATCTGTACTTAAGATGGAATGAGATGCGTAGATGTTTCATTCTATCTTAAATAGATCCTCAAAAATATAACAGATCAGATAAATGTTCAATTCATTATTTGAAGATTTCTAATAAAACACTAGAAAAGACACAAAGGTATTTATTTTACTAATGTATTGTAAACATGATCTGCTTTTTTTGTGATAATCTATTACTTTGTTGCGTGAGATATTCTTTTTGCGTGACACATTTTTACTATCATTACGATAAACTGTTGATGTAATGCTGATATTCGACTCACGAAATATTAAAATATATTTTCCTTGGTTTTTAAATATTAAGTATTAATGATATCCATATCAAACATCCAATGTAAAAAATAACTGAAAAACACTATAAACGCGAGTAACGAAAACGTAATCATATTGCATGCCATTTAGATGACATCGCATGATTATCAGATAAATATTTTTAAAGTAAACAATACATACACACACACACACACACATATCCTATAAAGTGTAAAGCTTTTATACATCTACATGCGTGATTTTGCAACGCTGGTATAGATACTTATAAATGTTTATAAGAATCAAATCGGTCAATGGTTTTTAAATACATTTTTTTAATATATCATGAAGAACAGGAAGAGAATATTGCTAATTTTTTTATATAACTATGTTTTTTCCAAACAGTTATTTAAATTTTGATAAGAATTCTGACATCTTTATGCCAGCAATTTCCATCATAAAGCAGAATATTATCAGTTTAATAGGTGACGAAATTAAATTGCTCGTAACAGATAATCAATATTCTAATTAAATTTTAAGGATATAACGAATATATATCATCACTAACGAGTCAAGTATATGGTGTAATGCGTATACCTATATCGATGTAAGCAACAATATGCCTATTATTTTCTTTGCTTTTTAACATTTTACGAAATGTGTGAAAGCTGAAATTCAAATTTCTTTATCGAAAAGATAAGTCGTTTAATGTTTTCTTTGTTAAAACACAATTCAGATAATTTCTAAAACAACTAAAAATGTGTATACATGTTTTGACACGGATACTTAATTAAAATCTAAAAGTTAAAAAAAAAAGTAGTACTTGATCAATTTTAGATGGTTACTCATCGTTCTTTATATATGTACCTCATTAATTATGCATGTTTTTTGTAAATACAATTCCAATCGCGTGTCTTTAATTAAACATGAGATCATAAATTTAATCATTTCCGAAACGATGATGTGAATGAATTTAATTCAAAATTCTTGTCTAAACATATACATAATATAATTTTACATATTTTAGCGTTTCTGTCGATATTATCTCGACGTTTTTATTTATAGTACAATTCTTTAATATATATTCTTCATAATATAATTTATTTTTTAATCTACACAATTTAACATCTCATAAAAAAATCAAAATAAAGAATGCAAAATTATTTCTTCAAGCATTTTTAATGCAAATTGTGTCATTAATAACTCGATAAATTAACATATGTAATTTCAATGTATCCTAATTATTTATAAATCTCGATCTCTAGATTATAAATATAAAAATGATTATAAATATAAATAGTTTCACAATTTATATATCACGCTTATGACAAGTTTTTTTTCACTAAAGAAAGAGATATTTATTTAATATAGTAAAGAACATAAACGTTTTATTGACGTAAGTAACAGGATAAGGATAAAGTAACAAATTGGAAGGCGAGAGAAAAAGAGATAACGCATTTTAGAATTAACAGTCGCCTTTCTGTACAAACAGCCAATTTTATTTAAATCTATTCACTCGAAAATACATATACTACAAAAAAGAGAAAGAAAGAGAGAAAAAAGAGATTAGTTTAATAATATTACTCTTTTTTTTTATGGAACAGTACTCCGCGATCTCAACCTTTTATGTTTATAATTTTTCAAGCCATTCAGATATCTTTGAACGATATTATCTAAAATGTTTAGTGATTGATTTTTTTTAAAACAAATTTAGTAACAATTTAATAACAATGTATTTTTAATTATTATTCTAATTATAATACATAAAATTAAAAAATTTTAAATACGGTGACTGAAATTTTTTTATGTTTCGTGCGCTTATAAAATACATTTATCTACTTTTTAATTTGAGTAAAAAAATAGGAGCAATCTTCATTATCTGTACACACATTGATTTTAACAACGATTAATTTAAACTGATATTTGATTTTAAATAACTAAACGTTAGTAAAGAACAATTATATTATTAAAGTGTAGAAAAATGTAATGTAACAGTATTAAATCGTAGAAAAGTATGAGACAATAGTTGACGAAGATACAAAAAATTATAAAAAAATTTGTCAGGATAATATAACAGAGAAAGAAAAGGACATATTTTATCGAGATTGTGACAAAAATAAAAAAAAGTCCTAATAATTATTTAAAAATTTATACGATTGCTACAATTTTGGAACCAACCAACCTTAATTCTCATTCGCGAGAACTTTAGTACTTTACGTAAGAACGTCGATGGAAAGATCTTTTTTTTAATGAAGTAAAATTTTTGTCATCATAAACATTTGGAAAATTTAAATTATATGAAACGCGTCCAGATATCTTATATTTATCTATGTTCATCCGGTTATTTATCGGTAAAAACAGCAATTAATTTCGTCAATTCGAGATACAGTGACAAGAGTTTGGCAGTGCAGTCTCGAAATGAGATTCAATCGTGTTGTCCTCCTCGTGCCTCTAATAAAAGAAAATGAAGGAATTGGAGAGAGATTTGCTCTCCACTCTTGGGAGAGATTTAGATTACAGTCTCCGACAGAGAGCGGTACAGAAAAAAGTAAATCGCAATGAACGCTAACTGGCAGCTTCAAGTGCAAGCAACCGGCTTTCTTTAGCAAAAGCCACTCGTAAATCGCGAGCGCGCACGCGCTGGAGCCATCCGCGCAGCATCCCGTCATCCCATTTCCCGACTCCCGACTCCCGACTCCCGCTGTCGTCGCGATAATCGGAGAGAAAACGCACGTGAGACATCGTACTGACATCCTACTCCGTTGGCGTACTCCGATTGCTCCGACGTGTCTCGTCGACGTGAATACTATTTTCACAGAGTACGACGCGCGCGCATACATACATGCACGCACACGCACACGCACACGCACATTCTCTTTTTGTTTTCTCTTTCTCTCCCTCTCTCGGAGCACTTGAACTATCAAGAGTCAAGAGACGAGAGAGGTAGGTAGACGACGCTGCATCGAGTTGAGTCACTGCGCCCTTAACACGATAACAGAGACTCGAGAGCGAGAAGCCGGTACGTCCATCGTGCAATTACATCAGTGATCAGGTTGCGTGGTATATACGCAATACAAACCTTCTTCATAATGCCAGTCTTCCTCTTGGAGAACGTGGTGTATCTCCGTAATTTATTGTCGATGTACTCCATCTTAATTTTCACCCGGCCCTTAGTCTTCTTGCCATTCGAAGGGGGTGACTTCTTCGGCTGGCCTAGACTGGTGAAGGACTCGTCGAGATTGTCGGGGACGCAGTCGCCGGGCATGCCGCCGGCGGGCATGCCCTGCGAGAGCGATTGCTGCCGTGGATTATTACCGTCGTCGCCGTAGCAAACGTCGGAGATGCTGCGCTTGATACCCCTGTGCAAGTGTCCGGCGCCGGGCG